ATCTTTTATGAAATAAAGACAGTGTCATCATGTGAAAAACACCAGAAGGAATTCATCAATGCAGCTGACTGAATGGGAGGAGAAAGATGTAGTCTTTGATGGGAAGAGGAAAGAAAAGGCTAATTAAAGAGAGTCCCAGTAGCAAATTTTTAAACCAATAAATCAACTTTGAGATATAGTTTTACAATTTTCAAGTCTCAAATGCCAAATAAAATATTGAACAACTAAACCCATTAAGAGGCAATCCATACTCTCTATATGTATGCCTCAGCTCTAGGTATAAGATTGATAAGAGCAACATTGTTTATTACTAGACTGAGAAATTGCCCTTAGCCCACGCTGCTGCGAGATGGGGGCTATTAGTACATCTGCCTTAGCAGTGGGTCACGGGGCTGTTCAAGCGAACAAGTAGGACCTAATAAATACTGGTGGAGGGACCTTTCATACTGTCTCATCTTCATCTTGGTGAGGGGAAATGGGTAATTTGATAGAAGCTATAGTCTTACATAAAACAGGATGCAAATGCTAATAGTTCTGTTCATAGTTTGCTTGAATGTCATATCAAACATGATACCCAAGGATCTGAATTCCAGACTGCTAACCACTGATAATGTGATTTTTAGTATGTGCTTACAGTTTTCAGACATGTATAGGCTATATAATTTCATAATAATAATCATGATAAATGCCTTATTTATAACTGACCTAGAAAACAAATTATTTAGTTGTCTTTTTCTTTTCTCTTAGTTTATTTTTTTAATGAAAATGAAACCACAAAGTAGTTTGATTATACCATTTCTCTTTTTAATAAAGTTTCATGTATCATAAACATAGCTATTTACATTTTTTTTTTTTCAACACCGTAACTGAGGTCTAGTAATAGGTAAATTTTTTACCTGGAGCAGGTGGTTAGTTAAAGGAGGATTATTTTTTAGCTATTTAGCAACTATCCTAGTTATACTCATTAGAGGAAATGAAACAAAGTGACAATATATGTATACAGATAAGGTTGGTGTTTAGTTGCTAGGTTGTGTCTGATTCCTTTACAACTGCATGGAATGTAGCCTGCCAGCATCCTCTGTCCATGGAATTTCAAGCAAAAATGCTGGAGTGGGTTGCTACTTCCTACTGCAAGGGATCTTCCCAACCCAGGGATTAAACTCATTTCTTCTGCACTGACAGGCAGAATCCGTACCGTTGAGCCACCTAGGAAGCCCACAGATAACACGACTCTCACCAAGTATTGTTTTCTCTGAGGTACCACACTTCTTCATGCTCATCCTCACTCTCCTGAGAAAATCAATCACATTTATACACATCTTTTCCTCTTGTTACAACAGAAGATGTGCACCTGCTCCTGGCAGGGCCGGTCTCTCCCTGGACTCTGGAAACTGCATCCCTTCTTGCTTTCTCAAGAACTTAATTCCCTCAGTCATCAGTTTTCCCTCCTGCATGAAGTTATCAGCAATACCTTCCATTAAAAGCAGATAGCAAACAAACAGTCACTGTCTTTAACTCCATAACCTGCTCCAACACAGGTCCTCTGTTCCCTTGATAGCAGAACTGAAAGTGCTGTCCACACTTGTCTCTGTCTCCTCACCCGATGCATACTTCCACCCGTTCCAATGGTTTCCCTTCCAGAGGGCCCTGCCCAACTCTGCACCCCAGTCTGCTGTTATCAAAACCATCATGACTATAATAATGAAAATGGAAATGATTCCACGGTCTGTGGCCTCTTCCTAGTCTTTATCTTACTTAACCTCTCAGTAACACTTAGCAGCTCCTTCCTTCTGGATACCCTCTAGTTCCCTGGCTCCATAACATCGCCTGCCAACCTTCCTTCTTTCTCAGCAGCTATTTCCTTTTAGTCTCTTGCGAGTTCCTTCTCCTCCCTCTGACTTACATCTTAGCGTGCCTCCTGACTTGAACTGGGCCCTTTTCTTTGTTTGGCCCTCCAGGGTGGGCTGAATAGTATCGCCAAAGATTCCAGGTCCCACTCCCTGAACTTGTGAATGTTATCATGTACAGCAAAAAGACTTTGCAGCTATGATTGTTAACAAATCTTGAGATGGGAAGTTTATGTTGGATTACCCAGATTGGCCCTAAATGTAACCGCAGTGTTCTTATGGGGCTTCCCACGTGACACAGTGGTAAAGAATCTGCCTGCTGATGCAAGAGACATGGGTTTGACCCCTGGGATCAGGAAGATCCCCTGAAAGAGGAAATGTGGCAACCCACTCCAGTATTCTTGCCTGAGAAATCCCAGAGGAGCCTGGTGGGCTACAGTCTATGGGGTTGGGAAGAGTTGGACACAAAAGAGTGACTGAATATGCATGCAAGCACGGTGTTTTTATAAAAAAAAGACGAGGGAGCTATGGGACACATGAAGGAAGGTGCTATGCTGCAGGCTTTGGACATGCAGGAATGCTTTCTCAAGGCTGGAAAAGGCAAAGGACCGGATTCTCTCCTCGAGCCTCTGGAGGCCTGCTGGCACCTTGACTTTTTGCAGTGAAACTGATTTTGAACTTCAGATTTCCAGAACTGTTAAAAAATAAATGTGAGACTTCCCTGGTAGTCCGGTGGTTAAGAATCCGCCTTCCAATGCAGGGGACTCAGGTTCGATCCCCGACTGGGGAACTAAGATCCTACATGCTGAGGGGTAACTAAGCCTGAAACATGCAACTAGAGAAGCCTGCTGAGCTGCCGTGAGGACCCAGTGCAGACAAAGAGATAAAAGATAATCGTGTGCCGCCAAGTCAGCGGTAGTTTGTTATACCCCCTCCATAGGTTATTTCACTCATCTTCCTGGATCTGAAAATCATCTTTATGCTAGTAAACTCAAAATGTATTTCTTCCTGGGCTACAGACTCCAAACCCTGCTCAAGCAGATCATGGTGGCAGTCCCTACCCAGCTCCTCCAGGTCGCTTCTGTCCCTCTAACCACAGTCCACACAGTCCTCCAAATCCGATCACATCACTTAACCTGGTAAATTTCCTTTACTGTCTTTTGGTTTCACATTTAATAATATCCAAACTCCTTACCTCCATCTATAAAACCCAGACTGATTTGGCTGCCCATTATGTCCACATCTCCAGCTTTACCTCTGACTCCTCTGTTTCAGCTTTTATCAGTTCCTTCTTGCCTCAGGACCTTTGCACACACTGCTTTCTGTGCCTGAAAGGCTCTTTCCAGCACCCTCACCCTCTTTCCTAGTTCAGATGTAAGTTCCCCAGACTGCCCTCTCTAAAGTGGACCACTCCCAAGTTATTTCCAATTTCCATTGTTTTCTTTAGTTGCCCTAATCCTGGGACATATCCATCTTACCTGTTAGTTTGACTTTTGTCTGTCTCCTTGAAATCTAGACTCCATGGAAATAAGGACCTCAAACTTGTTTTGCTCACTGCTGCACCCCAGCACAGACCACAGTGCAGATACACAATAGTTGCTCAGCAAACATTACTTAGATGAATAAATAAATATATAAACAGAACAGGCCGTGTAGTGGGCTTAGCTCTCTTGACTTTGACTATTTTGGTCACAAAAGATTTCATATCCAAATGTCAAGGGTCTCTAATAAACAAAACAACAGTTTTGGGACCATAGCTATGAGGCCTGCAGCTGCTTTGGCTTCCCTCTAACAAATCACACTGGAGTAAGGAGAGGGGGAAGGAAGGATTTAGAGGAGGGTGTGTTATTTAATCCCTAAATGCACCTTATAGCTATAAAGGGGGAGAGAAGCCCTAAATCAGTGGACAGTTAAACACATACTTGTTGAACTGTAATTGTGATTTTCATTAAGAAGGAAAAATAGAGGGGAACAGTAATGGATAACATGTATACAGCACTCATCAGTCGCCAGGCAACGTCCTAGGCACCTTATGTATATTAACTCTTTCGATCTTTACCTCAATCCTAAGCAGTATAATCACCTTACAGATGAAAACACTGAGATACAGACGGGGCATGTAACTTTCCCAAAGCCCGCATCTGGCATCACAAGAATATTTAACAAAGGGGCCTAATCCTGTTTAGTGTTTCCAAGGAAGACTCTCCAGGGGAAGTGACATCCAGCAGAACAAGCCAGGCAAAAAGGCTACTGTGGATGTGATTTGGGGCAGGTGAAGGTCTGGAGGAGGCAAGAGCTGGCTAAGTTGAAGAACTGAAGGGAAAGTAGTGAAACTGGTAAGGCAGGCAGTAGCCATGCTAAACAATTTGAATTTTATCCTAAAAATAAGGTACACGTTAAGAAGGGGAGTGATAGGATAAGACTGGAGCTTTTACAAATTCCCTTCGGCAGCTGCTGGGGAGAAGAGCTTGCAGGCCTGCAGGGCCTACCTGTACGTGGTTAGGAGAGAGGATGGCTGCTCAGGTGGAGGAAAATGATCAGATGTTCAATATTTAGGAGCGAGAAGCTAGAGAATTTGGAAATTGGTTCAGGCAGCTGGGAGAGACGGCTCTGTCACACAGGGCAGTGCAGCTGTCTGGTTTGGGCGTGTGGTCGGGTGGTGCTGCTTTGAGCAAGATGGGGAAGGCCGGAGTTCAGGCTGAGAGGAGACGAGGGTTGTGGTTCTGGCCATTGTGCAGTCCTGGTCCCATGAGTCTCCTAAGCGGAGGGTCGTGCAGGCCACGGGGCGAGGGCTCCGAGGGCAGGGCGGGGTGGAGATGTACACAGGGCAGGTGAGCGCACACAGAAGAGGCTTGCCTGCACGGACCTGCCCGTGTACAAAGAGCAGAGTCGGCAGCCCCGGCCCAAGGAGCGCTCCTGTTCAAAAGTCCTGCCAGCTCCAAGTGTTGCTGATCACAGCGTCTCTTGACTGTCTCTCAGCATCCCAGACCGAGGCTCCCGCGGGCAAAGCGAGAGGCGAAGCATAGCCCCGTGAGACCGAGTCAGGCGCAGGCTCACCACCCCGAGCCCGCGCCTCCCTGGCCCCCAGTGTTCCTGCTAGAGTCCAGCGCCCCCTCTCCCACGTTCGCTCGGTCTAACCCGCTCGATCGCCTTTTAAGGCGCCCGTTGCTCTCTCAGGCCTTTGCACCGCCTGCTGACCTGATCTCGCCATGTAGAAATTCTGGGGGTGAGGCGTAAGGGGCCGTCCGGTCCACAGGGCGACAGGTCACTTTCGGAAAGGACTTCAAACTTCCCGGCGCCCGGAAGAGGAGGGGATGAGGGTGGGAGGGCCGCGAGGACTCGCCGAGGAGCTGCTCGCACGGACACCCCCTTCGGGGGTGGATCCCAGGGTTGCCGGCGCTGCCGCGCCCACCGCGCCCCTCGCCCGGCGGCTCCCGGAAACGCCGCGCCCCCTCGGCGCTCGCGCTCCTCAGAGGTTCCGGGAGAGCGTGCGGGGCGGGCCGAGAGCGCGCGGGGCGGCGGCAGCCGCAGCCGGGGCCTCACCACAGGGTTCGCGCTTTGTTCGGCCACAGACTCTCGCTCTCGGGCGCGCGGCGGCGGCGGCGCGGAGCCCGGGGACCTGCCGGAGTGGCTGCGCCCAGAGCGGCGGAGGAGGAGCGGGCGCAACCCGGGCTCCCATGCCCGCGGAGTAGCCCCGCGATCCGCCAGGCCAGGCGCCCGGAGAAAACGGCTGCGTCGCATCGCGGTACAAGACCGGCGGAATGTGGGAGCCTCCGGGGAGCCGGCAAAGGGAAAGCGAAACCCGCGGGCGGGGCTGGTGACGGGCTAAGGCGCAGCACCACCCTCCCGACGCCGGCGGTCCCCAGGCCTGCCTCCCGATCCTGCCCGGCCCAGCCCAGCGCGCCGCAGCCATGGCCATTGCGCACCTTGCCACCGAGTATGTCTTCTCGGACTTCCTGCTGAAGGAGCCCTCGGAGCCCAAGTTTAAGGGGCTGCGGCTGGAGCTGGCCGTGGACAAGATGGTCACGTGCATTGCCGTGGGGCTGCCTCTGCTGCTCATCTCGCTGGCTTTCGCGCAAGAAATCTCCATTGGTGAGGCCCGGGGCTGGCGGTATCGGGGCCGGCTAGGCCGGCGTTATCAGAGGTGCCCTGGTCTCTGGTTGGAAGTGATTTTACCGCGCGCCCCTGGCGGTGCTCGCCGTTGTCATGGGCATGCACGTTGGGAAGGAAGGTAGCCCGATACGATGGTCTGAAGCATTCTTTGTCCACGTGCTCCCCGCCCCCCCAACCGTGGACCCATTTTGTATCCCACTCCCCAGTTCTCCTGTTCCTGCTGCCCACTGATGGCTTACTGGCAATGTGCCCAGTCAGTGCCTACTGCTGACTTTGGCTTAGTGTTCAAGCCTCACTCCTAAGACCGGCGCCGTTGTCACTAGATTTGCCTGTCTCCTCTTCCCTCCACCAGCATATTTCTGCAGTCACCCAAAATTTGTATCAGAGAACCTCCCGAGTGTCTAAATGGAGGATATGAGGAAAAGTACCCCAATCAAAGTGCTTTGTCCCTTGTCTTACATTTAATTAAGTTATACTGAGACTTAGCCGCTGCAGGGTTGTGAATGATGGGAAATAACTGCCCTTGGCCAGTATTAGAAGGATATCCAAATCCTCTACCTGGATGGTCTTTTTTTGAATGTGAGATGAATGAATAGCATTACTGTAAATTCTCATGTGTCATAGCAACAGTTTTGTGAGATTATGAAAGCCTGGTGGGCTGGGCAGGATCACGTGGCTAAGAAGCAGCTGGTCTTCCTTCCCAGCTGTTCTGACTTTGGCCTGGCGGGGTTGGGGGGGTAGGGGGGTTGGTGGCGTTTGAGTCAACAGGAAGGCAGTGTGTGAGGCTAGACACAGCTCTGCGGAGCGGAGGTGGCTGGTGGGCTGAAGGATGGGGAAAGCTTGTGTGAGAAGCTGGGCTGGCCCTGAGCCCCTGCCCGTGGGTGGGATGTGGATTAGCAGAGTTGAGACTTCTGCCAAGATTTTGAGATGGCCGAGAAGGCCCAGTTCTTGGAAGGACAGACACAGCGAGCGAGTATCCTCGCTGAGGCAGAAGGATTGGTCAGGGTTTCCGGGATATGAGAGTGCATATGGGCCTGAGACAGTGAGAACAGAATAGAAGACTTGATGGTTTAAAAAGTGAAAAGTTATGATTTAAGTAGAGGCTGGACTAGCTGGAAACAGCACTTAATAAATAATAGGCTGAGGGTAGTGTGTAAGGTCTGTGAAGGGGAGGCAGTTAGAGCTAGGAAGGATGCCATAAAGATTCGGAATCAGTTGAGGTCTTGTGTGAGTGTGGGCCCCACGACTAGAAGGGAAAGGATGGGAGGTTTCCAGGAGCAAGGAGCCATGCTCTTGGGCGTATAGCTTTCCAGAGGCCCCAAAGGGCCGAACTGATCAGAGGTACCGGAAAGGCTGCAGGCCTAGTGATTCGGGAGTGATATTGGTGGGAACAGGGAAGTTGAGGGCAGAATTGGTTAGAAAAAGGTTACAATGAGCTTGATTTTGTGATCTGCACCACAGCATTGTTCACCTTGGCAGGAAGCCGCCAAGTTCATTCTGAAAAGTAGTCTTCAGTTTTCCTGGTCACTGGGCAGGCATCGATAGTCGAAGCTTTCCCTCTGCCTTCCTGTGAATTGAGGCTTCTGGGTGAAAGGAAAACCACAAAGTAGCATGGACCCTGTAGATGATCTGCTCCTTCAGTGAATGTCTCCTGAGGACCCAGTGCTGGGCACTGAGGACCCAGGAGCTGGGGAGACATGCTCTGCTGTGGGGGAGCAGCCATCTGATGCCAGGAGCTGGGTACCCTCTGTGATCAAACCTCACCTCTAGCCCATGTATTCCAGGGACTCTAAAGAGCGCTGTTGGCCCCTTCTAACTGATGGGCTGTCTGAAAGGCGTTTGCTGTGGATAGGTTTACCCAGTGGGAGGCTGAGCTTATGCTGTTGTTTTTTGCCGGGGGGGTGGGGGGTGGGGAGGTTGAAGGAGTTTGAGGTGTGGTCCTCATCCTGCCCTGTAGGAGTTTACCATCCAGCTGGGCACAGGAGCAGACTTGCTGGAGGTAATGTGGTTCAGCAGTGTGTGATTCAATGACAGGGCAGTGTTAAAACTCTGAGCACCAGGTGGAAGGAACTTGGGTGAAGCTATCAGCAGACTCCTGTATACTGAGAGCTTCAGGACACTCGAGAGGAGGAAGGCAGGACCAGGGACGACATTAGACGAAGCCAGAAGACAGACTTCAGAGAGGAGAGAAGAGGTACAGGAAAGAGTGTGTGGAACTGGTCTGGTGGGGTCCTGCATGCTCTGGAAGGTCGAGCAGAAGGGGCTCTGCCTAGCCGTCCGTCCAGCGCTTGTGGGTCATCACAGAGGTGATGCGGTGTGGCAGGGCAGAGAGGGGCTGGTGCCCACGGGCACGGTGGAGGGTGCACTGTCAGCCTTTGCAGCAACCTGGAGCTGTCACTGCTCATTGGTCCTGCCTGCCCTACCACGGCCAGAATTACAAGCAGAGCCATTCTGGAGGGAATCATTTAATTTCTGAGTTGTGGCTGGAGAGTTTTAAAGGCTTTTGCAAAGTGAGCTGCTGATGTTGGATTGATGTAAGAATTAAAATAGGCCCCTGGTCTGGTTTAAGCCTGATACTTCGCTCAGCTTTTCTAAAGCATTGCATGCCTGGGTCCCCTAGAGGGTAAGCTGGGTAGGGGGACAAAAAACCCTGATTCCACACTAACTGATGCACAGCAGAAGACAGTTTAAATTTGACTGTGACTCTGGGCTGGTAAGACTGTGCGATGGGAGACAGAGAAGAGGCAGTTGGCACTGACCGTGTTTTTTCAGCTTTCACTTTTTCTCTCCCCTTGCCTTGCATCATGTCTTGTATACAACAAGTGCTCAATTAAGATGCAGTGAAAGAAATGCAGGAGCATGTGAGAGAGCTCTCTTGGTTTGCCCTTGGAGAACGGCTGGGTTGAGGTGGGGAGGGACATCCAGGGAGGGAGGCCAGGTCTCTGTGTCCAGGTCAGAAGCCCAGATCAGGATCGAGGTTGCAGCGGCCAGGTCCCAACCTGGAATTCACAAGCTCGAGGTGAGGGGTCCCTGGTAAGGGGGGAAGTCCTTGTTGCTGGGGTCCTCATGTTATTTAATAACACAGGGGCTGCCCTGGTGAGGTCAGCTCTGGTTCCCTCCCTGAGGTCCCTCTCAGAGGACAGTACTGCAGGATATGTTCAGAGTGGAGGCACCGGTTGCCCCACTTGACTTACAAGCATAGGATGTATTGCAAGTACCTCAAATTCCCTTTTGCAGCACTTTTGGGGCATGGGAGAATCTGTTTGAAATGTCGAAGTCTCTCTGGAAGGCAGTTGAGTGTCATTCTGTGTGGCTTGGAGAACACACGACTGTCGCCATATGGCAGGTGCGGGGGTCAGAGTTCTGTGCCATAAAATGACCCTCATTTCTAACACACATTTGCAGATGCCTCTAGAGGTACAGCATCTGTCCCCCTGACTCTCTGCCTATCTCTGTATATTTCTGTGTCTAGAGAGAGTTTAGGAAATAGCAGAGTGACAGCTCTGTGTAGAGTACAAGCATAATTGGGTTATATGGCCTTCACGCTCTGAAATTCTAGGAATCTTTATCTCAAGCATTGAAGAAACTAATTCCCTAAGCACGCTACTTTTCAACAGACTAGACCCTGAATGGAATTCGTGCTCTTGGGGTCTTTTGCTGGGTCTGCAGTGCCCTTGGCCTAGGGCTGTAGGTGACCCGAGGCCGAGGTGTCCTCCCTTGGGGTCTGCTTTGACTCTGGAGCCCCAGCCTGGCGCCTTGGGAGACGCTGGGAGAGCGGAGTCCCTGTGTCCTGCCAGGATGCAGCCTGCCGGTCCCGGTCTGGCCGGACCAGATGAGCAGCAGGGGCAAGGGGAAGGGCGTCTGGTCCGCGCAGGGAGCCTGCTCCCCCGATGCCCTCCTGGTGGGCGGCTGTGGTTCTGGGCAGAGGGATGTGGTCTCTCTGCTGCTGCCATTCATGGGCGGGTGCTCGGCCAGCCCCAGGGGGCCAGGGGCCAGGCAGCTGCAGCCTCTTCCAGAGCTGTTAGCGCCCAGCTCCCCTCGTGTTTCCTCCAGCTGAGTCAGCAGCTCTGTCATCCGCTCCTCTGTGGCTGAGTGTAGGCACACCTTTGGGAATGTGTTCAGGCTGCCTTCAGCATGCAGCAGGTGGCGCAGCTAATTGTTCTTTTCAGGCTTGTCTCTAAGAATGGGCTAATACTTAGGGTCTCAGGGCAAAGGTCCCAAAACAGCACATCCTCAAATCAACATTTTAAGCCAAAAAACATCCTGGTCCGCTTCCAGAAGGATGCCTGCTGTCCAGAGAGGCTACTGATACATACATGTTTTTCTTTGTTAACTTTTTTAAAATGTACTTTTATTGTACAGATAGTACCTACATACCTTCTCAGGGTAAAGGATTCATAAGCCTTCCCCCTGTGTTAGAGGTGACCACCGTGGACACTATGTACAGCTGAAAAAGACCCCTTTCTCTGCATTAGTATAAAGTTTAAACACTTTTTTAAACCAAACAGTCACATCATCGTGGTTTGCACTTTCCCACTCAGTATGGTATGGAGAGCCTTCTGTGTCAGTACTGAAGTGTCACCTCACTGTTTTTTAGTGGACAGGCAGACAGAGATACTCTATAGGGTGAAATGTTCTTGCCATAGTTCACCCAGTCATTTTCCTAGGGATGTGTGTGTAGTTTCTTCCTAATTTTCCATGATTACACATCGGGCTTGTTGATACATAAATCTCAGTAACTGCTGCCCCCCTCCCAGCATTGAAAGGAAGAGACCAGTATCAGTTCCCAGAAGGATGGAGGCATTCTCCAGGATAGTTCTGCATTCCTGAGTTACTATTTCAAGTAAAAGTCAATGCGCCTGTGTACCCTCCAGCTCCAGCTCCCTCTAAGTGTGACTCAGAAGAGGGGAAGAGGAATTTTGATGTGTTCCTCATTTTAAGAAAGAAAGCACCTCTTTGAGGAGTAAGGTTGCAAGATT